AATAGTTTGACTCCCTCTTCTTTGTGGCAACCCCTGAGATATTGAAAGACTGCTATCATGTCTCCCCTGGTCCTTCTTTTCATTAAACTAGACATTCCCAGTTCCTGCAACCGTTCTTCATGTGTTTTTGGCCTCTAGACCTCTAATCATCTTTGTTGCTCTTCTCTGCATTCTTTCTAGAGTCTCCACATCTTTTTTACATAGTGGCAACCAAAACTGAATGCAGTATTCCAAGTGTGGCCCTACCTAGGCATTATAAAGTGGTATTAACACTTTAGTGGTATTGAGAAAGGTATGCATGGAATGTGCTTTTGAACGTGGCAGTTCTCCCTACTTCCTGCCCATGGCAACTCGAGAGCAGACCATGAATGCTTTCGGAGTTGACATATGATTTGTTTCTTGGGTCTCTGATCCTGTTTTTGTTTGTTTGTCTTTTGACTGAGACAAAATAAAATGTTGGAATGGAGATATTTTATGACTGGAAGCAAAAGAATCAACATCTTTAGACAGCTCCAGAGAACTGCTACTGTCTGTTCCTGTCTATGCCACAGAATGTTTTAGAACTCAAATATGAAGCCCTTTTTATGAAATACTCGTCCACTTCAGTTGAAAAATGGGAGGTTTATAAGAAAAAAAAACAACTCATATGAATTACCCAAAACACGTTATTGTTCCTCTGTTGTAGGAGACAACTGTTTTAAATGCAGATGAGCATTTTTACATACGGAGCCATTCATGCTTGAATTCCAACTATGGGGAAAAAAAGAATCACAGCCCTTCAATAGATCTGCTTTCGTGATAGGCTTTTAGAAAAAGCGCCATTTTCTATAAAATAGCTTCTATCCCAAATCTCAAGTTTGATTAAATTGTTTTATTACTAATGAGAACTACACGAGCTTCATTAATGAATGAGATTGCCTTTTAAAAGAAACTCCAATTTTGTCTGAGTGATTGGCTTTTACGAAGCTATCTAGTATTAGATATATAGATAGATAGATAGATAGATAGATAGATAGATAGATAGATNAGACGGAGGCCTTCGTCTCTAATTCTGGTCAAAACAGTTCTTAAACGTTTGAAAAGTTGCGCCTCATTTCCAGCCGATACGAAGATGTTGTCAAAATAGGGACGACTCCTGGAATCCCCTGCAAAAAGCCGTTCCCTGACACTTTGGAACAATCCAGGGGCAATACTAACTCCAAATTGCAGGTGGTTACATTTGAAAGCACCCCTGTGCGTCACAATGGTTTGGGCCTCTGCCGTAGCGCCATCTACAGGCAATTGTTGGTATGCTTGCGCCATGTCCAATTTAGCGAATACTTTGCTGGGGACTAAGGAATGTAATAAATGCTGTACAATGGGTACAGGGTAAGCACTTTGTTGTAACACTTTATTGATTGTGCACTTGTAGTGGAAACCATTATGACAGTTGCTAGTATCTAACAAAAATATTTTATAATTATTATAATTATCATCTTTATGGGCATATTTAGAAACAACATACTGGGTCTCAGCCAATGTTTATCTTCAAAAGATATTTATGAAGCCTACGTATAATCTAACTTCCTAGAAATAAAGAGGTTTCTGAAGCTACAACTTACTTTTAGTTCCACCTTAAATTATTTTTAAAAACTAATTGTAGTAGAATCTGGTAATTGCTAAGGGAGATATTTACAGAAACACTGCTACAGTTGGCACTTCACTGTACTATCTAGTTTATATGTGCAAACTATATGAAAAAATAAAAATATAAGTAATATACCTGGACTATAACAAGAAACTAATACAGTAATTGAATACTATAATTCAGTGGTTAAAGCAATTTATCCTTTGAACAACATTGGTAACTGATTTTATCTAGCTGTGGTGGTACAATGTTTAGAATGTGGTACTGCAGGCTAACTCATTGCTCACTCCAGAAGTTCGATCCTGATGGGTTCAAGGTTGACTCAGCATTCCATCCTTCCAAAGTCAGTAAACTGGAGACCAGATTGTTGGGAGCAATGTACTTACTCTGTAAACTGCTTAGAGAGGGCTGTAAAATGCCATGAAGCGGCATATAAGCATAAATGCTATTGCTATTACTATTACTATTGCTTTGTATGCCTAACAGCAAAAGTTCTTGCTGCAGCAAATATCTATTTTGTTTAATTGATATTATATGTTGGGTGCATAGCTAATACAGTTGTAAGGTTGCCTAAGGAATCAGAAAATGATAAAGTTGTGGAGCCATTAGAAAAGAGTATTTGTAATTTATCATATTTTGCATGTTAATGCACTGTAAAATTATTACAATTTTTGAACAAAAATAATTATAATAAAGACCTTTGTTTTTGCTACAAGCAAAATGTGGCATAACAGAATAATAGCCAGCTTAATAAAGATGATATTTTCATTAATTTTGAAAAGGCTTTATGCTTCTATTACAGCTATTTTTAATGCCAAGAAATTTAGGCAAGTTTGCTGTTCATAAAATCTAAATTAGCTAGTGTTTTCCTCTTTCATGTTTCCAACTTTGGCATTCCAGTTACCAATCACAACAGCACATCTTGCTTGCATGTTCTGTTGATTTTAAATTGGACTTGATCCTAAAGTCCCCCTCTTTTTCGAAATCAGCAGTTAGAACATAAATTTGAATGACTATCATATTATTGGATTGTCCAAAAAATAGCCCTCCCTTGGGTAAATCAAAACCAAATTAAAGTGGAAACCATTCTGGTAATATTGGAATAGTTATGCTACAAAGATAATTGAAAATGAGAAACTATGGGAGGCTATATTTATTTTTGAGGAGAAATAGCTAAAAGAATATGCAATGTATAAGTATAATCTTTATTGTCATTGTACTTAAATACAGCAAAATTGGTTGTGTGTGTTTGTGTATGTGATGTTTTGTCCTATTAGTCCTTAGAAAAAAACTGGAAGGTGATCCGGGATGAAGGACTTTCTGTAATGGATAGAAGCAAGGGCCTCTTTCTTCCAGAAGATGAAAATTTACGAGAAAAGGGTGACTGGAGCCAGTTTACTCTGTGGCAGCAAGGTACACAACTCATTACTTTTCTTGTCTGTTCCAGTGTCCCCTTTCCATGCTAACAAAAGGAAGCAACTAAAATGTTAAAGGGAAAATATGTTTTGTGATGCTAAAGAGCAGGATAATGAAAACTGAAGTGCCAGGCCTATTATTATTATGTAGTTAATCTTTGGTGAGATTCACAGCATTTGGGGCTGGTTGGTAGCTCGACAGCTCGACCCCTAACCAAGGACCTAGGAACAGTTAAGGTAACATCAGAAGATATAAGCTATTCCAAGTAGGGTGGTTTTTTGTAGAATCAGAATGTTCAAGTCAATATTATTATTATTATTTGCAACAACAGAATTGTATCACAGCTGCCAGCTGTTTTGCCAGATTTGGCATTGATTACTAGTCTGGCCCCACCCAGGGTCCTAGGACGTCGTAATGTATTTTCATAATATGCGTGCAGATCCAAGCAGTGCGGCTTTTTGCATTTGACTGATGGTGATCTTGCCAATTTTTAACCGTTTTAAATGTAATTCCAGTGCTTTTGGAATTGCANTTATTTCCTCTGGGAGGGGCCATTCATTGTCCACCTGTGGCCTTACTCCCAAGTCGGCACTGGGATGTGCACACTGGGAAGAGGCTCCAGCTGTTCTTCTGCCTCACTAATCTCTGACTCCGAAGGCAACTGATAAGTGGCATACAGCTCTGGCCCCCTCTCTGCCTTCAACACAGAGCCCTCGTCCAAGCCTCCCCCAGACTCCAGGACTGGCCCATGTTCCTCCCCAACCTCCTCACTGTCTGAATCTGCTGCCAGCTCCGCTGGCCGGCCACAACACATTCACCCACAGAGTCTCTGAAGATTATGACGTTTCCATCTAAAGTACCAAAATTGCCAACTGGCACACTGAAAATCAACCAGTGGCATTTATTGGTGACCTGAAGGACTTACCGCTGGCTTTCGGCAATCAATGCAACGTGGACCACAAGGTCATTTTCCAAGGGACCCTAAAAAGGATAAGAAGAAGAAAGAAAACATTTTTTTATTGGGATTCGCTATCTGATTGTTACCTACCACATAATGCGAAGCCAATGTGAACAATAACCATCCATTAAATATGACTGGCAATTTCCGGCTGCATGGCTGTTTTTTGTTCATTCTTTATTGCCTGCTAATCAATTTGGTTATGCAAACAAGAGAAAGGAACATCAGGGGAACAAGACGCATAAATCTCAGTGCCACCTGAGGAGCTGCGCTGTCAATATTTTTTTGGAACGATGCGCTATTGAAATGGTAGCAAAAGATTCTTCCTCTTTTTTTTTTACTCTTGTGGTGAAGCAGGAAAGAGAAGAAACCACGAGCTATTGATTTATTAGACTTGTGCATCATTTTTTTTAAAAAAAAAAACATTTTCTACTAGTCCATGAATGTAATGCTACCAGTTATCTCTCAGCAGTGGTATATAATTTTGATGTATAACAGATGTTCTATGAAGCAGACAGCCTCCATGACTGCACATGTAGAATTTATTTATCCAAAATGTCCTTTTCATTCATTTTATGGGCATATTCCATATGTGGATTTGTTTGAGTATAGCAAAGAGACCACCATCCATAGAAAAGACAATGGGATTGTCACTGCCTATCAACCTGTGTTGGGTTGCAGGCGATACGCCCCAGTACGGGCGTATCGGAGCCAGCCTGGAACATGGGATACCATTCCTGTACGGTGCTCCGGAGGGCCCACGCGCCCGCTCGAGCTCCTTACCGGAGTTTAAAGGCTTTTGCGCTTCTGCGCAGGCACATGGCGCATACAGCCTGTGCAATGCTCCGCGGAGCAGCTGGAGCGTCATGGAGCATCACGGAAGTGCTTGAACGCATGCGCGCACTACACGCGTCCATGAGGACACTGCCGGCCCCATTCCAACCGTACCAGTTGGAACGGGATTTGCAACCCACCACTGCTATCAACATACCAGAACTTGGTGGTCTGATTTAAGACACCAGCAGGGCATCAACTATACTTTTAGCTGTAGGGCTTTTAATTGGGCAACTTCGGTTAGTGTGATAATAGTACAAAATAAGAAGGGACACAATGGCTAAGACACTGAGCTTGCCTGAGATCCAACCTTAAAATAAAAAATAGAATAATAGAGTTGGAAGGGACCTTGGAGGTCTTCTAGTCCAATCCCCTGCCTAGGCAGGAAACCTTACACCACTTCAGACAAATGGAGCATTCACAACTTCTGGAGGCAGGTTGTTCCACTGGTTTATTGTTCTCACTGTCAGGAAATGTCTCCTCAGTTCTAAATTGCTTCTCTCCTTGATTAGTTTCCACTCATTGCTTATTGTTCTACTCTCAGGTGCCTTGGGGAATAGTTTGACTCCCTCTTCTTTGTGGCAACCCCTGAGATATTG